AGTAATATATAAGTAAACAAAAAGTAAGTGAATAAAAGGTAAGTTTTGTTTTAAAAATAAAGGAATATTTTTTTTAATTATTAACAATTATTATTATTAGTATTATTACTAATAATTGTAAAAGATAAGAGCAACAAAGCTTTAAAACATTACCATAAGTGTATTAGTAAAATGGATATAAGAAAACAAAAAGTAAGCAAAATGAAAGACAAAGTAAAAGTACTTTTTACTAGATACACTTTTATTCTTTATGGTGGAAAAACTTTTTTTTTTATTTTCCATTTTCGTATTAAAATGGAATTATTGTCAAACTTTATTATAGCATATTTTTTGTCAAATCTTAGAAATAATTAGTAATATTATTATGGACTAGAGTTACTTATCATTAACAACCGGCTTTGAATAACTTGATTTCGAAAATATGCAGTGAAGTACTTACGAAGTTTCCACTCTCTAGCTCCTTGCACAAATCCACATCATAGGTAATGTTATCATTACAGTGCAAGCGTGGAATTCTACTTTAATTAAAATAAAAAAAAATAAACATTGAGCTTATCTAATTGCAAAATATAAATAAATGTGGTGAGATGTTAGCGGTGGTTAGTAATTTTGTAAAGCAATCGATCGGCAGTGTATGCAGCTGCAGCCCAGAGTTTTATTTTTATTATTTTAATAGTGACACTGATTGTGAAAAGTTCTCTTAAGAAGAAGCGTCTGTTGTGATTGTTTTATTTGTTCGAATAGAGTGCACGGCGCCGCCTGTTAGATTAGGCGAGGTGGGAAAATAATCAATTTTGGGTATGTGAACCCTTGATAGATATTACTATTTTCGTCTAGAGAGGGCCGATGCGTGATTGGAATTTCATTGCATCAACAGTTTAATACATGGTTATGATCGATTTAACGAGTATGCCATAGAATTAAATAATGAGCGTGTATGTATCTGACGACCGTTAGATAAGCTGCAACCACAATGTTTTGCCTTTAGCCATATGTTTATTCACTATTATGTGGTCTCCGTGGAATGCCTTTCATCTGAACTTAAGGCATAGTTCCCAAATGCCGCGCTCAACGCGGAATGTCATATACTGTTCGAAGCTCAACTCCCTCCTGTGTCCTCTGTTTGCGTCCGTACTAAACTTTCCACTTACTCAAAAGTAGAATATCGCATCGAGTCCATTGCGAACTCAATCTAATACCACCTAAGATCCAATTGTAAAAGTGCGAGTTTTAATTAAAAATATTGCTCGGCCAAAGTCCAACGAACCAAACTCAAATATTTAATAAGTTTACTCAAGAGTGAACAAGGCGACAAAAAAGAGCAGCCAGTATTAAAGTATTTTAGGCAATTAATTTGATTCTACATTAAACGGTGTAGATGTCATTTTGAGATAAATCCGGTGATAAATTACAAAATTCTGTTTCCTTGCTGTTTAGTATAAATACGCAGATCTAAAGTTTGTTTATTTGAGAGAGAAATAAATTAGCCACTTTTGAACAAACTGGAAGATCGTTCCCAAAAATCTGAGAAACTCGTTACAACTGTTATTATATAAATTTCGACGAGTTTTAAGTCTTAAATGAATTACATGTTATCGCCAGCTTTATATATTGTCTGAATTAAGACTTTTGTGCACCTGTTATAAGCCGCTGAAAGCTTTCCACACTGATTTTATTTTCCAAACAAACTCTCATAAATCAAAATATTACAATTAAAATCTTTCTCATAAATTGTTTAATTTTTTCTGATATAAACTTTCTAATTTCAGTTACGGAACTATATAAATTACAACATCGTAATCAAAATCAAAATGACCGATGTGAATGTCAGGCTAAGCCATAAAAGCTACATCTTGATAACACAAAATTGCAAAGAAATATAATAAAATTTTAATGGCGTGATTTAAACTTTGGACACAAAAACACAAAAGAAAAATATTAAATAAATCTAATTATATAAAATTTTTATATAAAAATAGCTTTATTATTTTCAATGAAAGTTTAAAGTGTCTTCTATTGGGTTCAAATAGAAATAAGAGGAAGTCGAAGTGCTATTTGCTAAATTTCAGCTTTAGCATTCTATAGCTTCTTGACGACCCTAGTAAAGGCTTATCGGCGATGAATATAATGGAACCCTCAAAACTTTTATACGATCGTACTTAATAAAAGAAGGTAAATCACTAATTGTGACTAAATCTATATTTAACTTGTATACAATTTAAGTCAATTAAACTTTTCACTTTTGCACTATTTTGTTAAATATTTACAAGTTTTCTATAAACCTTTGTAATATCCAAAACAAACTTTTAGTGTTTAGTTAAACTTCATAAGTGAAACGCACCGTGGAAGTTAGATCTTTATGAACTTTAATGTTTCCACTTTATCCTTTAGTAATGAAGTTAGAGACAACAGCAATCAAAATGAGAGCCTTCCGGAAGAGAAAACATACATTCCAATAGTAAAAGCATCACCTCCCCATTATTATATCAACTTTAAATATACAATGATAAAGCGCAACATAAATTTTTCCCATTCATGCTTCGGTTTAAATGAAAGTCGATAATGCTTGCAGGGCGCAGCGAAATTATTTCAAAACTACATATCCAACTTCAATAAGTTTAAACTCCGAGCGAAGTTTTCTAATTTTTTTTATTTAACACAACCGCTTGCAACATCTTATTTAAAAAGATAAATAAGTAATTGTAATTGAAGTAATCTACCCCGCGTCGTGGGATTTTTATCATGTTATAACTTCTTTCTGAAGGTTTTTGTAAGAGAAAATCGCTGGGAAAAGCACTGGAAATTCTGACAGTGTCTTAGGTCTTCAAAGTAAAATGCTACTGCAAGAAGATGTGTACCAAGGATCAGCAATAATATTAAAATTATGCAAAATTTACGTGATGCGGTTTTAAAACGTGTTAAAGTGGGTGAGCAAACTCAACAGCAGCTAGTAAGCATTCGAGTAAAAATAATGTGAGCAACTTTCAAACAAAGCGAATATTTTATAATTTCCGGAATATATTGAAACTTAACCGACTGCTCTTGTAAAATTAACTCTTCAATTAAATAATATGATGTATAGGAGATGAGTGTTGAAAGCATTTTGCACGTAAATCATGACGAGTATATTATCCGGATCTGCTTTGTTTATCATCTTTGTTTGCAGGTAGTTGATGACATGAGATAACTCTATTTGCTAGCATGGAAATATGCTGTGATAGCTTGCTTCTGTTTACCCTAGAACCTTAATCGTTATGTATGTCGTCAAGAAATCGCTTACCAAACATCATAGACACGCTGATTAAGACACTCGGTTTAGAAGAAAATCACAACTCGGCTTAAATCAGACTACATAAAACCAAATTAAATCGTAATAAATAACCACTGGAGAAAACTTTTAAAAACACTCTTGTTACTCTGTACCTCGTAATTAAATATCCACCGAAGTGAATAATTCACTGAATAAATGCAACAGGTTATCTCACAAAATTTGTTAGTAAAGTGTACACTAAAAAAAGCAACTGGCCAATTAGCTGACTTGAATACTGATTAAAACTGCGTACTAATAAGTCTGCACGTTTTCTAAACAAAGTCTTTAAAATTCTCTGGAAATTATTGACAAACTTCCAAACTTTCGCAACTTTCTCAAATTCTTAAGAAGTCGATAAAATAAAAAATAAACTTGATTATTTATTCCAGAATATAAAAGCATATACGTGCAACATTTCTACTTTGTTCAGCTTCTCACATAAAATGTCAATTTTCTAAAAACTAATTTATTTCCAATATATTTAAGATTGCTATAAATAGTTATTCATTAGAAAATTAACAAATGTTTATCCACCTTTAATATCAAATGAGCAAATCGAGCAGCAAATAAACAAATGAAATGTTTTCTATTCCAAACTTTTAAAAATATACTCCAATAAGAATTCATGAATGCAGATAGATAAGTAACGATATTTTGTTTAGAAAATGGTTTTTGAAAAACAAACTTGTTGGTTATTTAACTAGTTATCTTGAAATATTATGTTTTGCATTTAATAGGGGGATATAAATTTATTTTTGCACAGACGAAAGTAGAAATCATCTTATTTATGTTAAAATTGTGACAGAAGTTAAAATTCTCTCCCGAGGGAGAGAAATGAACTTAACAACTGGAGTAAATATTTGCTCTCGTTACTAAGTCATCCACATTTATTGATAGGCTTATTGTCAACGAACAGTTTTATTGTTACCATGGTGTAATTTTAAAGAATGCTAGCTTAATGATACTTTTTAATATTTTTAATGAAATACAGCCAATTTCTTTGATTTTTTTTAACACAAGTCGTGCAAAAAATAGTATATGCACCACTGGAAAGAAATACTATTATTCCATTGGCGCTTTATAGCCAGAGGGCGAAGCCCAAGAATTGCACCTCAAGACTAATCGCGCATTTATGTATATACAATGTATTGTTAAAACAATTTTATTTTATTGTTCTGTTAAATGTATTTCTAGTCTATTGTGTAAATAAAATATTTGTAATTTCATGACATAGTTTTCTATAAACATATAAATTAAATAAACCAAATTAATAACAAATACCATGGTTACGATAACGTTAAAACTATAAATATTTTCAAAATTAATGTGATAGTTTTTATTATTGAGAAAAAATATAGTACGTTAGAAACTTATAACATTTTCATAATATTTGATTAGTCATGTTAAATTCCTGTGCAAGTAGGAGCAATTTGTTTGCAATTTTCTTTTGTTAAAAATGTTGTAGCGTGATAGAAATACACATAACCAATTCTGTTAGCAAACAGAACTATTGACACCTAGTCAGCAGGGTTTGAGAAAACCGTTGAAGTGGAAAGAAACTAATGATCTTGATTTATTTGAGTGTATAGATGAAGAGTGAATTTTGACGATAACGCAATTTGATGGTTGAAACAGAGTGGAATTTGCGATTGGTGTAAAGTATTAATATGGAAGGAATGAATTAACATACCTTATTAAATACAAAGATAAGTTTGTGGAAGTTATCTTTGAGTAGTAGAAAGTTTTCGGGTTCCACCTCAAAGATACACGAACTAGGGACTTCTCAGAGTGCAATCTCCAAACCAACAATTCCGAGCCGGAGTACATTGCGTGGAAACATTGATGCTGACCGCTGAGCTCAGATTACAATAGTATTTCAATTGTTGCAAACGTGCATGCTTTATTCAGAGATTAAGCAAAATTAGAGGATTTGCCAACTTGAACAGCCATTCCAATTGAGTTTTACGCGTGTTTCTTATACACACTTAACACATCAAAGAAATTGTCTTCTTTACGAGAAATCCGATTAGAAATAAAGAGTCAACGTTTAATTTTCCAAAGTGGAATCTAATTCTCAGTATCTTGACTTGACCCACTTAATACATTGCTTTTTACGAGAAAGCTGCTAAAACCCTGCTACAAAACCGGTGATTTTAAACTGCAATTACCGGCAAATACACAACTCACCGACACGCATCGATAACAATATCGACGTCATTTCTTTACAATCCGATTAGTATTTTATGCGAGACCGCGATGAATAGATGCTTAATTTTACTCAATACTTGCATTCTTTTGACGTCTGTTTTTACTCAAACTGTCAATGAAACTGATTCTACCGTCTCGTTCAAACGTTCCCTCAAGATCGGAGAGAATGAAATTTTCAAGGTTGAAATATCACTGGGAAATCACAAGGTAGTTTCACACATTTCATTCACACAATTATCAACATTGCTTTAATTTTATTTAGAACGATAATTTCTTTATGCGCCAATGGAGAGAAATGACGGATTCATACAGATGGGTAAGTGCCTCAGATTAATAGAATTTTCTTTAATATGCCGGTTGAAATTAATCTAAATATTTTAAAATTATTAATTGAAACGTTAGCCGAATGCTCATAAATTAAAACATTATCAGATATTTAATGTTGAATTGACTTTATTATTTATATTAAATAACGAAATAAATAAAATTACTCGTTCAGCTGTAAATGATAAATCAGTTTAGCTAAGTTCGCTATAAAAAACTTTATTAAGTTTAAGAGTTGCAGCACGACATAATATATCCTATGGGAGGAGCTGCGGAAAATGAAAATACGTTTAGGAGTGCTTTGGCAAATTTATATAACTTAACGTATCCACACTTGTGGGATTTTTAAAATTTATTAACTCTATTTGCTATTATTTTAAATAACAAACTATAAATCAAATTTTTTCTTTGTATAAAGTTTTTAATAGATTTCGCATTTTTAACAAAGCATGGAAACTCAATACTTGAACCGTGAACAATGAGCAAGCTATTTTTGAACAAAACATTTTATTTGAATATATCAGAGTCAGTTTGAATTCAATAATGATGCAGTTACAATTTTATTTTCGAAAAATCAGAAATAAATTTTCGATTTATATTTTTGTTAAAAATCAAGTTATCTCTATCAATACAATACAATCGTCGCCTCGGGAATGATCCGATTTTTGTAAAGATCACACAACAGAGAAACTTTCAAACGCTTTTTACGTCACGTCATTCATTTGCGTTCAATTATTTCTATGTAGAATATTTTATATCAGACAAGCACATCAACTCTGACTTTTATAACACTTTTCTCGGTTGCATAAAAGCGAGTCACAGCTTATCCCTGGATCAAGAGTGACTGAATAAAAACAATGTCGCCACATAGATCAGCCTTAACCATAAAAAGCGTATCCTACACTCATCTTTTTTTTAAAGCTGTTGTATAATCAAAATTTATATAAAAAAGTTTCCAAAATATATTATTGTAAACTTTAACGAATAACTGATTGCAAGGTTATTGTTATTACATTGTTACGATATTGTGTATAAATAAATTTTTTGGAATGATATGAAAACTTCGTAATAGTCATAAAATAGTGTTTTTAACAAGCTGTTCAACAATAAACTTTAAGGCTTCATAAAATATAACAATTTCATTTAAGTTTACGATTTATGGTGGAGGCGCCGGGCAGTTTTAATGCTGATGAAATTTAACTTAAATTGCGATTCTATACATTTTCGATAAAATTAACAGAATATAAATATTTTTATGCGTTTCACAAGTTACTATTTTAATTTTTTGCAAAAATTGTTAATTTTATTTGGGCAAATATCGAAAAGTGCTAAGTTTTATCTGTAATAAATTAAGTTAAATAACTGTTCTAAGATGAAATGAACGCTATAAATTATATAATTATGGTAGCCTTTGTCTGTTTAAGCGCTAGAGTTTTGTGTGATATATTTGTATAACTTGTACAACAACGGTCGATTGCTACTTTACAAAATACATCAGCTAATAACGTATTATTTTGTACAATAAAATAGTTTTTTAGTTTTATTAATCAATTCAACTCTAAAAATTTGTTAGTTGCCACCTATTAGCACTATAAATTAAAATTGACATAACGCAGCGTCCAAAATTAATTTAATTATTATTCAACTTGTGTCTAAACTAGCTATAAATTGCAATCCGGAAACGCTTAATGTAGGAATAATATGTTGTCAATTATTGGTCTCATTTACAAGAGCAACATGCATCGATCAAATTTAGATAGGACTGTAACAGGTGACACGAATTTGTTGTGCATGCTAATGTAAAACAGTATCAAAAGCAAAATCAACGAAAAGTAACTCTTTTAAGTGAGTTAGTGTCTAATTAATTTGGTTCAATTAATGTAATCACTGGCACTTCTGTTTTATAAAATGCGTATTTATTCATTGTCATAAATCTGCTTAGAGTGGAAAAGAAACCAAGATATTCTGAGAAGCAAAGCTGAAAAGAACAACAAACCTTTAGGACAATGACAATTTCAAAAGGGACAATGTACTCTACTTAATTATTCTTTTAATCATTTTCGCTTCAAAGAATTTTTTGTTTTCATACAATTAAAAACAAAGTAGAAGTTTATAACAACTTGTAAGCCGCAATTAAGTAGTAAATAAACCATTTTTTGTAAATTAACTAATCAGAAATTCGATTTAAATATAATTAAATTTCAATTTCAAATTTGCTTCGAATTCAAGACGGATACCGTCTGAATGTTTAGTATCAAAGTCTAATCATCTAAGTTTGTAGTCAAATTTGTTTATTTTAATTTGGTTTCAATGTGAAGAATATGGCTTTCTGCAATTTGTGCTTATTGAGTTCGTGAAAAACAAAAAATGACAATATCACTAGGTCGGTTTTCACCTGGGGGCACTGAAAAGTAAAAATGAAAAAGATGAAGTGTTCTTCAAAGGCTAATAATATGTGGATGTCGGTGAACTATAAAACTTGGTGGAAGATAAAAGCGTAAATATTTTTTCCAATGTGGAAAAGTTGGGACGAACTATGAGAAAAAAATTATCAAAGCGGTTTAAAATAGTTTGACGAGTAAAACGTTATGAGTGTTTTGTTGTAAAAGTTTGTTGGATACTGAGAAGTAAAGTTAACAACGACGACATTTAATAACGTGTATTTACATGTAAGTCAGAGGTATGTATTTTAAAAGACAATTATAAGCAGAGTTATTCATAAAATGTGTTATCTTCAAAGAGATTTGGAGTAAATTGTTCGTTTATGTCATGTTATTGTAATGAATGTTATTTAGAGAGAGCAAAATTCGTAGCAGTCGAAATGCCCAAACGCATTCCGGTCACGCGGCATCATTTAGAGCTGCCGTGAATTGTAGTGGACTAGCGCAATTTGGATAAGGTAGGCTGACAGTGAGAAATCGCAGCCCGTCATCCAACAGCCGCTGACAGGCTTTCGTGATAAACATCAAGAAAGGATCCTCCGCCTATATAGCCGTAATCCCGTTCTTCTAGTGCTTTTCACGACTCGCTAAAACATATACGAGCTGGCTTAGTGTCATAATGTCTCCGGCCGTCAATAGAAGGATGTCGATAAACCGCCAATTTGACCAGTTGCGAACTTATTTATATTTTCATGAATTGGCACGCATGAGATAAACTGTTAGTCTGCCAGAAAGAGTGTAGGGCGTTGTTTGGAGCGCTTTCAAACGTCGGTGCCAGCGCAACATGCCACTGACAAGCCATTCTTGTCAAATTCACTGATTCTTAATTGCTTGTGTACTCGACCAGTAACGAGCAAACCGTTTTTCTTGAGACAGTTTTCTTCATATTCTTTGAACACAATGAATCACACTACCTGCACAAATCCTACAAGTGCATTATCTACAAATTAACTTACTGAAATTCCAAAAGTAATAACAAGAAAATCTCGACCCTTTGTCTTTTTTAAATGTAACTCAACATGATACAGGCTGTCCCAACTGGTAAAGTCCATTAGTGATCTTTAAAGAGTAGAATTAAAAAAAAAAATTATTCGACATTGATAGATACTAATCTAGGCTATCGAATAAAATTATTTTCAACTATACAGCGTGTCCCAAAAATAACTTACAATACAAACCTGTTTTTTTTAATAAAGGACTACCAAATGTTTCTTAGCATTTTTGGATGTAGATTTTTATGAGGCTAAACTTTTATTGGTCGATTTTGCTTAATTTTAAAGATGGTTTTTTTTGAAGAAAACTTTCTAATAATACCGAGGGGCATCGGTTACGCGCAGAAAAGAAATCCCCACTTCTAATTAAATAAAATTGTTGAATTTTTTCACACTTACCTGGGCATAAATAAGGTTCATTCTCTAATTTTTTGGTAATTTTTCATTTACAAATAAAGCCAAAAAAGTCCCATCTTAACTTTGAAAATAATTTTTATTTATGACCTGCTACTTGTGCCATCGTAAATTTAGGTGACAATGGGGAACTGCAATTGGGATAAGATTCCAAGGTTTACAACAAAAAAACCCTTTAAAGCGGTCAGCTACCAGTAAATGATTCTTTTGTTGGAAAATTATACCATTTTGTCATAAATCACGGGTCTGGTTTGTGTTTAAATAAAAAAAGCGATTATTTGGATAACCAAGTCAAAATTTGAAATTGTGATATCAAAGTTTGATGCGCTAACAGGTACAGATGCATTTAGTGTAAAAACTTTATAGGTAAATTAACAGAAAGTATTCATAAAACACACAAAACTGTTATGGACTCATTTATTATCAAAAAAAATTAGAAAATTTTTCAAATTATACCATATCAATAATTAGTTAGGTATATAAAACATCGTCAGTTTTAATTAATTAGAAGTCGATTTATCAAGTGCGCGTAACCGATGTCCCACCCGGTATATTACACAAAAACTAAAAAAATTATCAAAGAAGAATGTTGGATACCGGCATAATAAATCTTCAGTACTGACGAAGGAACAAGTTGATGAATTTTAGCGCACAGCTTCAGATGAACCTTTTTTGATGATAAAAGTAGCATTCTTGAATGGACTTGCTGGAGCTTGCAGAACCAATGAATTACTGAAGATGTCTACCGATGACGTTGAAATTTTAGAGAATAAGGTAGTTATTACTGTTCCTGATTCAAAAACTCATAAAAAAAGATCTTTCGCAATTGTGTCTGAGGGTAAATCCCTTAATTTTAATTAAAAAATATGCAGCGTTACGGCAGGCTCATGTTACGCATAGAAGATTTTTTGTATCATACAGAAATGGAAAGTGTACTATTCAACCATGTGGTATTCATTTTGTTTCTAAAATTTCTGAAAAAATTGCTACATATCTCAAACTCGAAAATCCAGTTATGTACACCGGCCACTGCATTAGGAGAAGTGCAGCGACCATGCTTGTAAACGCGTGTTAGAACTGCAAGAGTTGGGTGGATGGGAGTCCAGCAATGCTGCAGAGGGGTATTTAGAAGAAAATCTAGAAAA